TGGGAGAAGTGAAGTTCAAACGGTGCAGAGAAGCTATGGGCGTTGTGTGAAGTGCCCATTGGTGGAGCAAATGTGCTACTGCGAGTTGGGATATTTCCCGAGGGGGCGTGTTGAAGGGCGGTCCTATCCAAACCTAGATAGTTGGTAGTTAGGCGATGATAGGCAATGCCTCGAACGTGTCTCGACCTTGCCTCGGCCGTGCCTAGACCTTGCCTCGGCCATACCTCGACTTGCCTCGGCCGTACCTCGACCTTGCCTCGAGTCTCTCGGCCGCGTATCTCGGACGTGACCTCAGGTCCAGGGATGGTGGACATCTGTACGATACTTCCATTTGTACTGGTATATAAGACACGAGTTGTGCTAGTCTTAGTATCTCATCTTAGGATGGATCGGTATTCCTTCATAGGAATCTCCTAAAGTCTTCTTGCCGTTCACCACTAACCCACAGACTGTAACCCTTATATCGCGACCAGTCTCCTTGCCTCCTTCATATTCTTAACAGTTGATAACCTTACGAGATTGTCGAATCTGCTCCTCGTTTCCCGGCTCGGCGAGCAAGGACTGCTCAAGCCCAAGCTCCATACACACCACGCTGAATCGAATTTGCCAGGTGGCGTAGTTGTTCAAGTCCAGAGGCTCGTCAAGCTTGTCATTCCCCATTGTGGAATACGAGTATTAGAGGTAGGTGCTGCTTAGCGTGAGCCGGGGCTCATAACCTGTTAAGAATATGAAGGCAAGGATACTGGTCGCGATATCAGGGTTACAGTCTGTGGGTTAGTGATGAACGGCAAGAAGACTTTAGGAGATTCCTATGAAGGAATACCGATCCATCCTAAGATGAGATAGAAAGACATGCACCACTCTGGTCTTATGTACCGATACCAACGGAAGTATCGTACATTCGCCCACCATCAACGCTGGGCACGAGGGGACGTCCGAGATACGCGGCCGGAGTCATCGCCTATCAATCAATCTTGGATATGCCCGCCTACCATCCTGCACTAACGTTGGGACAGGCCCACCGGACCCGGTCGCGGTGCGCGACTGTCACTGATAGGCGCCAATCAGTCAGGTGGATTCGCCCACCTATCATTCCGCGATCTAGCGGAGCCATCCTGACGGTGCCCAAACGTACACCACTAACTATCGGTTGTGCATCGGCAGTCCCATAAGTGGCGGGTTAAATTTCGCCGCTTGTCTCAGACAGACCCAGGGTCAAATCCCCTGTCCAACAATACTCGAGTTGGGAGGAGCACCGTTTCCTGGTGGGATTGGCTACCCGCGCTCCCCATGTCAGGGGTCCTCCCTCCTGCTGTTGACTCCCGGATTGTCCACGCACAAACGCCAAACGTTGGCGCAGAAAACAGACAGGCCATTGTAGTATGGCATCTAACCACGCATAACCCACAGCGGCTTTCAGCAGCAGTACTGCTTGGTGAATGCGACCGGCCGTGTACGTGTCATAGCACCGATGAACCACCCCCTGATGCCGCCGCTGATGCAGCAGGCATATGGGTCTACACTGCCGAGCTCTGACCAGTTTGTTTTGAACTCGCCTACACAGGGTTGTAAAACAAGGGGGGCATTTCTGTTGTCATATGGTATGATGTTTCATAGACGTCGGTATGTATAACATTATACAACTGGGTGGGTGGGGTGAGGTGGGTTCCTCCTTTCTAGGTTGCCCACTGTTCCCTGCCACACATCTCACGTCGCCACTTACCAGTAGCACCACGCGACTTGACGCGGCGTGGCACATCCTCTGCTTCGGTGATGGCGGCTGGTGCACTCATCGGGACCACAGTTCCACCGCGTCCTCGACGGTGCCAGTCTCCGCGTCCCTGTGTCCCTGATCCTCCACGGCCCCCTCCGATGCCGTTTTCATCTTGAACAAGAGGGATTTCGCGTCCGAGACGGTAAGGCCCGGTACATTCCCTCTCAGTGCCATGGCGGCGCGAAGCGGGGAGAGCTGGAAATCCTCTGCAATAAAGGACACACTGTCTTTCAAAACACCATTCGCAAAGTTTCCGGTTGTTCTCGGCACAGGGACATCGCCACCCCACGTCTCTGGCACGGACTCGCGCTTTTCTCTCTGTGATCAATCTCTCACCTCGGAACAGTTCCCATGCTTAACCAACGGAGTAGACGCCGAGATCTTCTTCGAATTGACGACGCACAGCATCCACCCGTTCATCGTCCCCGTCCAGCACATCATGAAGACACGTCGCGAGAGCCGCGACATCAGACTATCAGACAGCAGAGAATTAAACCCCGAGTGAAGGCGAATGGCTGCAAGTGCACCATGGCGCATTTGCATGGTTGGAAGCCACAAAGCATGAAAAGACATACCGCGTCATTTGGACTTCGTGTCAGCTGGTCTCGAGGGTCTCCATCTTCCGCAGTGTCCTCCAGGGCGACATCTATAGCGGCCATTTACTCGCCACTCCTACCCGAAAGTAACCTATCTTCTATGTAATCAACGCTAAACGCTGAAGTTGGGTAGGTATGTAATACTATTGTAAGATTATCGACTGTGGCATGCTTGCAACCCATACTTACATGCGCACCAAACTCTTGTTGTACGGAATGGTGGTTTATGCATTAATGCATGGCAGTGCGCGGCGCTAGAAGTGCTTTTGGTATACTTATACATCTCTATGCCGTTGTTGTGCAATATCTGAGGCGTGTTCCTTTTAAAAAGCTGAAGGTATTTAGACAGTAGGGAAGCATTTCTAAAAATCTCGGTAAACCATTGCAATAAGTATGCCAGTTTATATTATCACCATAGGTTCTTGTGTCGAACGGTGCTAAATGAACCATGGTGCATGCATGGAAGTATTCGGGGCGGAGAAGTCTCGGCTATGGAAGTCCTGGAGAAACGTCAGCCTCTGCTATGGAAGTCCTGGAGAAACGTCAGCTTGATTGCAGAGTCTGTGGACGCCAGCACACGATTAACTTGTGTTGCTGTGGCCACCCAGCGCCATGCACGGTCCTGTACCCACAATTTTGTGTTCAGGCGCTTTGTGGCTTCGATGGATCTAGCTGTGGAGTAAAGTATGCGTCCTTCGCAGCCTTCGCACCGGCAGTGTTGGATACGGATGCCGGTATGCCATGTTTTCAGACCTGTTGTCGCAGCGCGGGCTTCGAAGCACGGCGCCGTTGCCCGGTCCGTTACCCATGCCGGGCGCCCGTCCAGCGCGCCCCGCCTTCCTGCAACAACTAGCCGAGCGTCGGCGCCGTGTTATCGGTGGGATGTCGTGCCCTGGACTGCGCGACGAATGTTATGCCTGCCTATACGGCTGTTCCCAGGCGGGTGTGTTGGGGCCGCGGGACATTGAGGCCGCCATCATGGACACGGGCGACGATGCAGGGCGCGCGCTAGCCTGGTACCCCGGGTTGTTGATGGCATGGCGGTTTGATAAGGTCAGTGCATGTGGGTCGGGCAAAGGCAATGCTAGCATGTTGGTCTGCCTGACAAATGTTAACCCACATGGGAATCCTGACATGGCGCCACAGGCGGATACATTCTTAGAGAATCAGCTTCCAGCATACTACGGCGAAATCGACTCCATCCGGTCCGTTGTCTGCAGTTTCTCCTCCTCAGCTGGACGGCTGTGTGCCGCATGTCTGGCCCTCAACAGAAATCACCAATTGAAGCGTTCAGTCGACGCTGCTTCACTGCGAGTCGCTGCGACACAGCGAGTCGCGACAGACCCAAGTGTCATTGTCCCCTTCCGTTCTGCCAAGGGACTTGAGCGTGCGGGACACGTTGAGCTCTTTGAGCGGCTCAAGGTGGTCACATCCGCATTGATCACCGAGCGGGCAGATCGAATAGCGCTGGACAGGGAGATTAAGCGGCGGACATCCCTTTTCCAGGCTGATAGAGTGAGGCTACAGGCATACGCTCGGGCAGATACATCACGCAGTGAACCCGTCCGACTGCTCAAAACATCACAACAACGAGGTATGATGCAGTGTCGGCATGCGTGAGTAGTGTAGGCTGGCGTGCGCGTACACATGCCTTGACTTGTTAACCATCGGACATCGATTGACATTCAGGACTCGTTGACGGCACAATTCAACAGTTGCTGCGGGGTATCATCCGGGGTCTCAGCGTCAAAGGACAACGCCAGCTGGAGGAGGTAGCTTTTTACATTGCCCCTTGCAGTGACGTGGGTGTCCGTGCTCCAACCCGTCGTGCTGACTATTGACCAAATGCACATTGGCTGGCGCCTAAGGTACACGGGCCTGCTGTGGGGTACATTAAAAGCCAGGAGCATGGCCATGCGTTCACGGGCGAATGACTGGTACCAAATAGGATCAGCAATGTCGACACTGTAACACGTGCTGCAGGCGCCAGCTCATCAACCCCCGGAAGATGATGATGATCGGGCCATACCTCATCAGCTTCCCTGCACTGCGCTCGCGGAGCAAGCGCATGCCCCATGTCAACATCTCGTCCCAGGATCTCAACTACAAGGACAAACAGAACCAGCACGCCACTCTCAAGTAGGCTCTATCCAACCTGGAATTAGGTACAGACTGGTTTGTGGCTGACTTACCGCCATTCACTGACAGACAGGTTGGCCGACCTCGACATGGATCCCTCAACTGGAAGCGTCAAGGCAGTCAGTGTGCTGTGTGACGCACTGGAGACAGGTTCACGCAGTCCGGTTGGCGGTGATGGTCCTATCGTTGACGGCTCGTATTATGCTACCTTCCTCTACGTGACGTTCATGCATTATTTAGTAGCTGGCCGCTGAAAAGGCCTCTCGAGATGCTGGTGGTCGTGCTATGCGTGTACCAGCTACTACAGCTACATTGTGCCGGGCCACACTACTGCAGGGCAGGCGCGTGTGCTTACATTTCTTTGTCTGCGTGAATGATTGGATGTATGAATGAATGGACGAATGAAAGGTGTGGTTAACATGCCCCTGGTTTGGTTCGGTTCGGGTGGTGGTATCTTTTTGAACACATGTAGTCTGGTCGAGTGCCGGGGGCCCTTAGCAGGACTGAAGCACAGTTCAAGACGAGGCGTGTGGATATGTCTGCTTGTCTGAACGAATGAATGAATGAATGAATAGACCGGGTGTTAAAATTGTGAGCTTGCCATGCAGGCACACCTTTGGTTCTGGTCGGTTCGGGTGATGGTAACTTTTCACACATACACACACAATGAATGTATGGGTGAATGAGTACGGAGTACGGTAACAAGGC